GATTGTATATTGACCTAATAAGGCATAAAATTATAATTAAACCTAATTGAATACAAATTTCACTTCATGCAGCTATCTTACTATATTTGAATCCCTGGCCCTGTTTTTTTTATTTCATGCTTTTCTGGGGCCCCCATGAAAACACGCTGGCCCCCATCTGGCCCCCTAGTACATTTGGTCTAGAACCGCCACTGGTACCACGGCCCTAAAAAATATTTAAACTTAATAAGTTTGGGTTCTCATATAATTGCTTTGATTAGAATAATAATGAAACAGAATTCACTCCATAAAGGTGTGGATATAAAAACACACCTTTAGGGTTTTTAGCATCATCGCTATTAATAAGCCAGTCTCTTCTTTCCTGTGATCTAAAGTGCTTCGCTGGCAGTATTTTAATATGGAGTAGCGACATTTAGAGCTTAATATGTAAAATAATGCAGATATAGTCAATATATATATATAACCATTTAAGTTTGTTGTCTAATAACAACAACAAAAAACAAAAAAAACTCCATTGGCTCTGCATTATCAGCTGGTGGTTCAATAAATGCTTTCTTTCCTTGGAAATTTGATTTATTATTAATATTTGGTTTTGGACATAGACTGGGTCCTTAAAGTTGGAAGGTGAATCTTTTATTTATTTATTTTAATCAGTTCCACAGCCCTTAAAAAATATCAAACTTAATCATTTCAGCTTCTTATATAATCTTTTACATTTTCCATATGTGATAAGCAAATCCACACCTTTATGGAGTGAATTCTGTTCCATTATTGTTCTAAGCAAAGAACATGTTTGTAAATTGAACATAAAAAGAAGAAATGCCACCCATGAATGAAAATTTGAAAAATGTTGAATCAAAGAATGTTTTAAGAGTAACATTGCTGTTTTCTCAGGTGTTAATTTAAATATTTTTTGCTTTTAATTTAAAATTTTATTTTTTTATTTTTGTTAGCACAGATTTTATTCTTTGGATTTATTACCGTAACTTCCGTTTTGCACATTGTGTTTTACAAAATGCATTTCCCAGATTAAATTCTCTTCCTTTAAAGCCCAATCAGAACTCTCGCTCTGGACCAATAAAATGTTCTCGCTAACATCCAGCAGACCAATAGAAATGCTCCTTCGCTCTTCACAGCAACGCCCAGCTTTAGAGAACCTGATCTGTTAAACGCAATTTGAAAAGATTCATAAAACTCAGTCTGAAAAAGAGACAACTGAAGATGTAAAAAATAGAAAATCTGTTAAAAATATGAACAAATAAAATATAAATAAAAAGAAAGTTTAAAAATGTAAAATATGAAAAATTTGAAAAACAAAAACTAAATTTTTCTTTGAGAAAACAGGAGTCCCTTTAAAAAACAAGTTTAATCTTTAGACAATATTTTTCACATTTTGATTAACAACATTTTTTCTTTACCACAATATTGGAACAAATTTCACTCCATAGCTGACGGATCAGATACTAAGGTTAAAGACTTTCCACATCCAGTTTCCCTTTTATTTAATTTACATGATGAATTTGTTTAGTTTTTATTTTAATGCTGCTTCTCTAAAATGATTCAGCTGCTTCTGTTCAGGTCAGTCTACATCATCCAGTCTATTTCATTTAGATCCAGACTACAGTCGGCAGTTTTTATTTTCATTCTTGCAACACAGAAAGGGGAAATTCAGCTATTTTCTGGCCCTTGTACTGCTTTTTAACTATGAACTTTTTTAAGTACTTTTGAACTTTTCCTTAAGTAACAGTGTTCAACAGGTACTTTTATTTCAACCTTTATTTTTTTCTACACAGATATCAGTGATTTTTATTTAAGAATGTTAAAACTGTTCACACCTCTGGTTCAGTGTTCATGTGTCCCCAGGTGTTTTAGCCCCTCAAAAAACAGAACAGGTTCAGAAAATCTTCTATTCTATTCTATTCTATTGATTCTTCTCAAATCTATCAAAGGAGGCTTTAATGCTTCTAAAACAGTCTAATATTGTTTTTAAGAAATGCTTCTGTTTTACAGATCTTTAAACACAGAAGATGAAATTTCAATGAAACACGATGGACTCTTGATGATTTATTCTTTACTGCAGCTCAAATCAACCTGGAAAAAAAATGTCTATATCAGGGGTCACCGATAAAAATCAGTTTGGTAAGGATAAAGAAAATCATCAACCAATAAAAGTCCGGAGAAATTTTTAATTAGAATCTGTTACTTTAAACAGAATTCAACACTGAAATAAAATGAGGTGTTTATGCATCCATGTCATATATTGAATTTTTTAATAAAAAGTATAAAAAATAGAAAGTTTTTTCCATTTTAATATCTTAAGTGTTTTTGAAGTAGA